TACAAATATATGTTAATAAATTTGGCAGTTAAGTAAAAGATTGATGTGATTCACCCAAAAAGTTTATTCCTAGAAATCAAGGCTATCTCAACGTTAGGAAATAAATTCATATAATTGTACATATTAACAAATCATTTAGGAAAAAAATCCACAATCATTTGAATAGATAGAAGAGTCAACATTCTTTTCTGATTGGTAAAACCTATAACAAAAGACAAATAGAAGTCTATATTTTTAACATGATAAAAGTAGGTGAAACATATCACAAAATTTAACTCCTTAATATGTAAAGTGGTTTTACAAAGCAACAAGAAATATATCCAGTAGAAAAATAATAGTAGAAGGCAAAATACCAGTCAAGTATCCTCAAAAAATTAAAAATGTTAAATTATTATTTATAGAAATGTAAGTGTAAGCTATGAAATAACTTTAAGCTATTATATTGGCAATGATTAAAATGCTATACTCAGTATTGGTGAGGTTGAAGTAAATAGGCTCTCTTATCTGACTAGGAGAGGTATATGTTAATAAAATAATTGAGGAAGGTAACTTTTTAATATATTAAAAATCATTAAAAATACATTTATCCTTTGATCTATAAATTTGACTTCTATAAGTTATAGCTAAAGAAACCACTTAAGATAAATGCTTACAAAATTTAGCAACCAGAAAACATTACATTTTATAATGGAGAAATAGAAATAAACCAAATGTCTAACAATAGAATAATAGATATGTCAATTATGATAAATTTTTATAATATACTATTCAACCATCAAAATTAATGTTGCACATGAATACTTGTTCATATGGAAGATGTTTAAGATATATTAAGCGATAAAGCAAGGCTCAAAGTAACGTAACAGTATGATCTTGTTTTTATTTAAATTATCTCTTTATCATCTATCTATTTACCTACCAACCTACCTACCTACCTATCTGAAAAGGACTAGAAGAATATTTGTTTTGATGTTAATGTTAATTACCACTGGTTGTTTTTTTTTTTAATTGTTTACTGTGATTATATATTATATATTCTTGCATATTATTGCATATTATTTTTCTTTTCAAACAATGTATTTCTTTTTCAAGAAAAAAGCAAATGTTATGTTAAGGTAAAGTAAGTATATATGTTATCTCTTGTGTAAAGTATGAAAATGAAAAAGGCTTGATATACTTTTTATAAGATAAATCCCACAATTCAATTAGAAAATGAACACAGAAGAAAAATGGGCTGTAGACAATTGCCATAGTAAAAACTGTTAATGACCTAAGAACAAGAAAAATTCAACCTGATTAGTATTTAAAAAATAAAATTAAAAAGAGATTATCTTTTCTATAACCAAAGAGACAAAAGATTTCTAAAAAACAGAAAATTAATTCTCTATGAAAGCAAATGTTTAGGGCTATGAGATCTCTTATACAATGTAGAAATGGGAGTAAGATTTCTACAGAATAGGAAACCACATAACAAAAGTGTTAATATTGTACATGCCATTTGGTCTAGACATTTCCTTTCTCTGAATTTGCATAAAAAGAAATGTGGACATGCACAAATAAGGATGTTAATTACAGCATTTTTTTATAATGATGAAAATTGGAAAAAACCTAAATGTTAAAAAATACAAGATAGATTAGCTAAATTACAGTATGTGAATAAAATAGAATATTATTCTGAAATTAAATTGGATTTTTAGAATAATATTTAATTATGTGTAAGAGGTTCATAATATACTGTAAAATGAAAAGAAAGTGTTCTTTTTCTGCTCCCCCACAATACCAGAGAATATGTTTTTGGGTGTCATATGCAAAATACTCTAGCATCTTACCATGTTTGGTATTTGACCACTAAAAATGACTGCTGGTGCCTTACCGATGTCTGTCCTGGCACTTGGTAACAGTGACACTGTGAGTGTCTCTCTTTTGTCTACCTTTTCAAATTGATATAATGATTCTACTCTGAATCTTTATTTAAAAAATACAATATTGGTGAATAATGATATTCCTGTGATCCAGAACATTAGATCAAGGACTTAGGGAATAAGTTAGTGATCTTAACTTGAAAATGCAGTTAGAACTTGTGAAAAATAAATATATTATCAATTAAATGTTTTGATTAACTTAAATGATAATGCTAAAATGTACTTTTTTGCTATTCATTAAAAAGAGGAAGGGTTGAGGGTGGTGGCTCATGCCTGTAGAACTTTGGGAGGCTGAGGTGGGCGATCACGAGGTCAGGAGATCGAGACCAGCCTGACCAACATGGTGCACCTTGTCTCTAGTAAAAATACAAAAAATTAGCTGGGTGTGGTGGCACATGCCTGTAGTCTCAGCTGCTCAGAAGGCTGAGGCTGTAGAATCACTTGAACCTGGGAGGTGGAGGTGGCAGTGAGCTGAGATTGTGCCACTGCACTCCAGCCTGGGTGACAGAGGGAGACTCTGTCTCCATAAAAAAAAAAAAAGACTTAGTAAGTTAAGGGGATAAAAAGTATAGTGTGTGTTTGAAACTACATGCAAATTACAAATCACCTCCGCATAGTTACTGAGGTTCAATTATTGCTTCGATAATGTACAGAAGCTCCACAGTGTGGTGGTTGAGAATTTGGCATTTTTTGGTCAAAAAGTAGGCTCTATTGCTGTGTGTGCTTGTGCCAGTTGCACAATCTCTCTGTGACTGTTTCCTCACTTTAAAAAATGCATATAATGATAGTACCAACATTACAGGGATGTTGCGAGGTTTATGTTCATATGTTTAAAGCCCTCAGAATATATATGGCAAGATTTCAGTAAATGCTAGCTGATATTATAATTTTATGATTATTGTTACTACATTTTCTGTCAGCCTGACTTCTATGTCTGTCTTTTACAACGAAACTTTATCAGTGGAGAAAGCCCAAAGCTGTCTTTGAATTTTGCAGAGCATATGTGCACCATCTAAAATAAGCCGTGGATAGCTGCGCTAAAGTTCTAGACTTGCTGGTGGCCCTCTCCAGCTTTTCTGCTTTGTTGGCATCTTGACTTTCTGTTTTGGACACCCGCTGCAACTTTGTTCTTCATTAAGTTCTTTGGAGGACAGTATCAGTTTTGGACTTAGAGTCATGACTTTGAGCTGAAGCACTTCTCTAGGTCTCAGTCCTAAATTCTGACCTTGCTGTTTATGAATCAGAACTGTGAATAATGACCGCCTTATTGTTGTTGTAACCTATGGAATCTGCTCAGACCTGAAATGAGAGGAAGTCCAGATAAAAGACAGGTGGGAAATGGTAGAGCTTGCGTCATTGGCTCTTAGGTGGAAGGGAGGAGAATGGCAGCAGGAGGATTTTAGCAAGTGAAACTAATAGAATATTGATGAAAGAGAGGGTAAAGCCTAGGACAATTTCTACATTTTTTGGGGAGACTACATTTTGCCTGGAGAGACTATGAGTAAGAAATGGCAGGTTTCCCACTAAAGATGTCAAGTTGTTACATGAGGCAGATTTGGGGATTTCAGGCAGAGTTTTCCAGCAGATGGTGAAAATCTACTTTCAAGAATTCACGCCATTTCTCCATTGCCCTAACTACCAATTAGTTTGAATTAAGATAAGCTGGTATAGAGTAGACTTATTTTCTCTTTCCTGTTTGTTTTTCAGGAGAATTTGGGTTCATGCTAGATCAGAAATAAACTGAGATCATGTATGAATTTCAATAGAGATGTATTGTGTGAGAGTCCACTGAGAAATCTGAACCTCCAGGAATCTGAGTTCCAGAGCTTTTTTTAAAAATCATGAAATACAACAAAATCAGTTAATATGTCATGCAGAACGTTGTTAAGCAGAACTATATTAATTCTACAGCCAACTGAATTGGTTTCTAAAAGGAATAAAATATCAGAATGCACAAAAATAGCAGTTTTGAGATAACTCGGAGCCACAAGTGTATCTTGTGAAATCCCATATTGTAAACTGTGGTTTCAGAGATTTAAATAGACTCTAGTAATAATATTAATGTGAGAATTTTGAAACATGTGGCTTTGAAGGCAAATACAGAAGAAAATAGTAATACTTTGCAAAAGGCATACACCTATCAATCTATAATGTTATTTAAAATGTTATTGTTTCTGCCAGAGTGTTTATTATATGAATGAACTAAAAGGAAAAAACTAGCTAAATAACTAAAAAAGGACAGAAGTCCTAGAAAGAAGAAGAAGAAATAAAAATTAAAGCAGTGAAAAATATACCAATACAATTTTTAAAGGGAAAGGCAAATCAGTAAAATACAAACACTTGTTTCAAGAAAACTGGAGAAATAAAATAAGCAGATTTAATTCAGGACAAGTATACAAAGAGGAAAACTTTTAAAGGAGGGGTACAGGACAGAAAAGGTGATTCAAAGTCACAGCCCTGCTGATTTTCTGTTTAATTCCTTAGAAATCCTCTATCAATAAAATGTAACCACAACTCTGCAGAATACAAATATAAATTTATGCATTAAAAGCAAGAAAGATTTAACGAAACACTAAGACTTGTCTTTGGGTGGAGAGAGAATGAATGGCTTTTCCTTCTTTTTATTTTTCTGTATTTCACCTGAGTGTCTTAGATGAAGATTAAGCTACTTTCCCAATGGACAAGAATTAACTCTATTAAAAAATGAAGCTCTGAATCCCATTTTCATATGAAAATTTAAGACAGCAGAGCTTTACTCTGTGACCAGCTCATTTGGAAACTGAACAGGATGACATTCTGCCCTGTGCAGTGTGTATTACAAACCTTCATGAAGAAGAATAGTTGTCTCCATTATCTGACACATTTCCTGGCCTGTGTTTCCAATCACTGACTTTCAATGGGTCCGTCTACCACACGGGTTTTGCACTGTCTTTGCTCTTCTTGGGAAACAAACAACAGGGTACCTATGTCTACTCTTACTTTTTCCTGTGTGGGTCTTTTTGGGCCTCTGGTGTAGGATTCCCCTGGCTCACAGAGTCTGAGAGGAAACTGCAGCATTTTATTTGAACATCTTCAACCTTAGACACTCACAGTTCCCTCTGCCCTCTCACACATGCGTTCCAGAATTCGGTGAATACTGGCAAAACTGGGTCTGTCTGCAGGCATCTTGCTCCAACACAGACGCATGAGATTGTACAGCTCCATGGGGCAGTTCTCAGGGCAGGAGAGGATGTTGCCATCTCGCACATAGTAAATGACCTCCTCATGGGCCATCCCATAGTAGGGCTGCAGGCCATAGGAGAAGATCTCCCAAAGGACAACACCATAGGCCCACACATCAGACTCTGTAGTATAGCGGTTATAAAAAATGGACTCTGGTGGCATCCAACGGATAGGGATAGCGTCGTTTTCATTAGCTTTGTAGTAGTCTGCTGAGTAGATGTTTCTGGAGAGGCCAAAGTCAGCAATTTTCACCACCATGTTCTCGCCCACCAGGCAGTTCCTCGTGGCTAAATCTCGGTGAACAAACTTACGTTCTGAGAGGTAAGCCATGCCAGCGGCCACCTGCCTGGCAATGCAAAGCTGCTCAGCACAGGAGAGGGGTGGGGGTCCAGGACTGGAGACCTGAGCCCTCATAGACAAGTCATTGTGGCTGAGGCTGCACACGGTGTGAGGGGACATGCTGCGGAGGAACTCATTGAGGTCTCCATAGGCCATGTATTCAAAGAGCAGGCACATCGGCTTCCCAACAGCACACACGCCTGGAACCAAAAGACCATCCTCTGTTAGTCTCGGTTTCTACAGTGACACAGTGGAAAGAGCATTCCAAAAGCAAGAGACCAGGTCAGAACATATGAAGCCCTGTTTGTTGTTGTTGTTGTTGTTGTCAGTTTTTCATTTCTTTTCTTTTTTCTTTTTTTTTTACATTTATCCTTTTATCCACAACACAAAAGGAATCTCAGCTGGGAAATGCACTCAGGGTAGTGAGGTTTCTGTTCCTTGGCTAAAGTTTTTGAGGACTTCCAGCACAGCACTGTTGTCCTGGGCACTAGTCATAAGTACATCATACCTGGTGCATCAAGTACATGGTGCATATAAGTATGTGCTGTATCAATTTGTTGGAGTGACTCTTCTCTCTGAAATCTGGAGACCCTGGTTTTTGGCTGACACACCCTAGATGAACCCTGACACTGATTCTCTGCCTAAATATCTCCTATTTGCCTTTAAGATTCAGTTTATTTATCATTCTCCCTAGGGTGCCTCAGCTCCTGACCCTTCCAGTAACTGTTTGATTTTCCTACCATCATCCTTTAACAGAAGACTTACCATCCTATTTTATAATCATTTGACTATTTCAGGCTTCTCCTCAACATTTTAATACTTTGAAAGGAGAGATTGCACCTTATTCTTCTTTAAAAATTCCCCACACCTGCCACGTGTCTGGCAGAGCAGATGCCTCCTAATGTTTGGTGACTTAATTTATGAATGGATGCTTGCTCTGAGTGTGTGATGTCATTGCTGTCTGTTTCTGTTTACTTCTCTGAAGGATGTTAATAAGAAAGATGTATGAAGTTTGAAAAGAATAATAAAAACAATTCAAGTGTCTTAGATGAAATATTTAAATTGCTGCAGTAAAACATTTTGTAAATTTAGGTTTTACACTGTTCATGCTACCAAAAATGTTAATATAAATAAAGTCTTAGATTTAAAGCCAGAAGATCATTTTCAAATATTAAAGTCTTGATATAATTGAGAGGGAGACTGGAAAACTTGAAATATTAGATAAGATGGGCACAAGTTCACATCACCTTAAAAACAGATTATTAGATCTACTGGGGTTTTTTTAGGCAAAAGTTAAAACTATCTGTTTGAAAAAGAGGAGAAATGAGGAATACTGCTATCTTGTCTTATTTACTTTGGCATTAATTTTTAATTCCAAGGACTTTAGCAATTAGCACATTTCTATATATAAAAGGAAAAATTAAAGAAATGCCAGCTAGGTAATACTTAGAAATTTCTTCTATAGGATCTTTTGTGGATAATATTTAGTTAACAGGGACTTACCTGTTATCTCATCAATTGGTTTTACCATTGTTATGCTGGTTGAATTGATTTTAAAATAATTTAGTACTAGAAAAAAATGACAATATTTCTCTGAGAAATAAAAAAAAATTTGAACTAAGTTTATTTAATGAAATTTTCCACTTTTTGGTAAAGAAAATATTATAAAAGATTTCTACTTCATGAGTATGAACAATTATATATATATGTATAAACACATAATTTACAATTATGTATGTACATACATTTAAGATCTTGAAACGTTTTCTATACTGTAATTGCTCAAACCCAGCTCTTAGTTGAGACTTCAAAATGGAATAATTATTAAGAGGAAGACTGTGTTTTCTGCACCCTTATAAACTCAGGCCTAATACTATGCATGGCTCACTATGGGTTTTTAATACATGTTGATGGATGGATGGATGAAATAATGGATAGATGGATACATGGACAGATTTAAAGATGGATGGGTAGATGAATGGACATAAGAAAACCTCATGTATAGCCCAAGCCATGTCTTTAAACTTTAGCATGGCATTTTCAATGACTAGCCTCACCTGATTGTTCTACTATTTGCTCTACTTTCAGAATATTCCATGATAGTCTACAATGTTTAATGCCTATTCTCATTCTAAGATTCTGCATATTTCTTTAATTATACCATTTTCCCCAATTTATGACTATGAAACTATTATATACTAGAATTTCAATAAAAGGGAATCAATTTTTAAGATACAAACATGTTCAGTAAGTGGCTGATATTTCAAATGTATAAAACAAAGTAGATTTATTGATAGAAGTTAATTTTATGGATTTTTCCCAATTCTCCTTTCTTCCACTGGTGTCATCTTATTTCATTGGGATTAACTTCCAAGAAACTATTAGAGTAGTGGGATGAATGATTACTGCTTATGTATACTTGATAAAAAATAGAATCTGTGTTCATTGGATATTGAAATGGAATTTAGATATAGCATTTAACAAATTGCAACATTAGTTTGAGTTCTTGCTGACGATAAAAATGAGAGAAAACTCCAAGTAGTGATGTATAAGCATGCTACTGCAGTTATCATAAATTTGAAAATTGTACATAGTTTGTGTATGAATCAATCTCAGGAATTCAGGATGTTGTAAACTGTATATGAATGCAGAGTAAACATTTTAAGAAAAGTTGAAATAGAAATTGTCTGGTAATCTTGAAAATATACATGTATATATGTTTGTTTAATGAATAAATGTATACTATTTGAGAAATTAAATAAGAAGGGTGGAGGGGCAGAAGCCAGATTCAGATTTTTGTGTGAAGAATGACTACATAAATGTTTAGGAGTTGAGGAAATGGGAGAAGTATTTTCAAGATGAATTGTTACATACTGAATATCTTTTACTCATTTATTGAACAAATATTTATAGAGCACCTACAATGTGCCAGAAGCTGTTTGAGATACTACTATAGAAATTCTTAATTTTAATATTTATCTAGATTACTTCCAATATCTTGACCACTAAGTTACTTTACATCCTTTCCTTAGACCCTTAGACCTCTGCCCAATTTCAGCTACTCACTCTCATTGTTATACCCCTGACTTTGTCATTCCATATATTTGTATGCCTCCCATAATCTCATTTTCAGTCACTCTTTTGTTGTTCACCACTTCCTCCTTTTTTCACCCTAGTTCACTGCCTCTACTGCCCTAACTCTAAAAATCCTTTGCCCCACTGAAACTTTTAATCTATTGTTCCTACCCTCTTTTAATGATCCCTCACTTTCTTCATGTTTTTATCTTCCTTCCTTACGAAGCTGAAGTTTCTTGATCAATCATAATAATCACTCCTTTGTATACACCCCTCTTCTTTGCCTCAATTTGACTTCAACTTACTTGTGTGGCAAAATGCTAATTCTGATTAAATTCAATTCTCATTAATGGGTGATTCTCATTATGATTAATGATTAATTAATGATTAATTCTGATTAATGGGTGATTCTGATTAATGGGTGATTCTGATTAAATTCAATTCCTCATTAATCTGTGCCCATCTGGTGGCACTTGGATGAATATACAACCATGCTGACCAGTCTCATGTGAAATGTGTAATCCCTAATTTCAAGTAACCTTTTAATGTTCTGGCTAATCATATTATACTTCTCTAGTCCATTTTATATTTTATGTAAAAGTGGGTTTTCCTAGGTGACGATTTATTTGTTCTCTTCCCTCAAATCTTCAACTTTTCTCTCATTCCTCATTCTCAGATGAGACCTTAATTCCTACTTCACAGAGAAAACTAAATCAGAAGAGAACAATCTCCAGCCAAATCGTTTATTACTGTGGTTGATGTGAACATTCTCTTAACAAAGGCCAATCCATCCAGTAGTGCCAAGATTCCATCCCCTCTTACTGTTCAAAGATGTTGTTTCCACTATTTGCCAACTCTAGCATCAATTTTTTTTCTTTACTGGATTATTGTCATTGATTTACAAATGTGCTATTAGTTTCACATGAAAGAAAGTATGCTGTTTTCTGCCCCCTTCAGCTCTATCCATGTTTCTTGGTTCACCTTTATAGCAAAACAAGTTGTTTATACTTTTTCTCCGAACTTTCTCTTCCTCTTCCTTAGAGCTCACTTACATTTTCTCTTGCCCTCAACATTCCTCTCTTCTCAGGGTTGCCAGTGAACCTCCATGTTTACAAATTCAAGGTCACTTTATAGTCCTTCTCTCACTAGACTTATTGCATATGACATGCTTACTTTCACCTATTTAAAATACCTGACTTTAAAATATCTGACCTATTGAAAATATCTGACTTTGAGGACACCATACTCTCTTGATTTACTTCTGTGTCATTGGTTGTTTGCTTTTAGTTTGTTTTTCTTGTTCATCTCCTCTTTCTCACCCTAAATGCTGGAATACTCAGGCCTTAGTCCTTGGACCTCTTCTCTGTTCTGGTTTTCTTTTTCCATGCTTAGCTGTCTTGCCCAACTTCATGGCTTTAAATACTCTGCTTTAAAACTCTATATACTGCAATAGCCTTAGATTCATGTCTAATCAGATCATCCTTTCTGAACTCTAAGCCTTCATATCTACTTGCCTCCTTAACTTCAGGTAGATGTTGAATAAGCATCACCCTAAAATGCTATTTTTTTTTTTTTTGAGATGAAGTCTTGCTCTGTCTGGCTGGAGTGCAATGACACAATCTTGGCTCACTGCAACCTCCTCCTCCTGGGTTGAAGCAATTCTCCTGCCTCAGTCTCCCAAGCTGCTGGGATTACAAGTGTGTGCCACCACACCCAGCTAATTTTTGTGTTTTTAGTAGAGACAGGGTTTCGCCGTGTTTGCGAGACTGCTCTCAAACTCCTGACCTCAGGTGATCTGCCCTCCTCGGCCTCACAAATTGCTGGGATTACAGGTGTGAGCCATCGTGCCCAGCCAAAAAACATGTCTTTAAATGAATTCCCACTCTCTCCACTAAAGAAACCTATTCCTCCTGAGCATTCCTCAACTGAGTCAATGACACCTCCATTCACTCATCTGTACAGCCAAATACCTCAATACTATCTTGGACTTTTGTCTCTTTTGCACGTCTCATATTTGGTCTGTCAGCGAATTATTTGGCTCTACCTTCAAATTCCACATGGAAGAGAACCACTTCTCATGATCCTCACTACCACCACCTGGTCCGTGCCACCATCTTCTCTTGTTGCATCATTGCAATGCCTATTTACTGTCTTCCTGATTCTATTGCTTCCCTCCAGGCAATGCTCAAGAAAGCAGCCAGAGAAGATGTGAAAAATGTGAGGTCATGTCATGTCATGTCTTGCCTGAAACTCTCCATTTGTTTCCCATCTTAGATTAAAAGCCAATGTTTTAAATAAGGACTGACAGGGTCTGCCCACCTCTCCCATTACTTCTCTGATCTCATCTATGATAATTCTCTCCATCTTTCATTCTGCTCCAGCCACACTCATCTCCTTGCTATTCCTCAGGCATGCCACATCTGCTCTTGCCACAGTACCTTTGCAAATGCTTCTCATTCTTTTTGGAGTGTTCTTTTCCAAGATACCCACACTGTTATTACCTTGCCTCTGCCAGGTCTTTATATAAATGTAACATTTTCACTGAAGTCTTCAAACATTGTAGCTCATATTCGAAAAACTTCCCTGCTTTAACATTTAAAATAGTATTTGGAACTTAATATCTAGCATCCCATGTTTTTGTGTTTATTTTTATTATCTGTCTCCTCCAATAGAGTAAATGTATGCTTCACGAGAGCACAGATTTTTTTTCTTTCTTTTTTTGAGGCAGAGTCTCACTCTGTCACCCAGGCTGAAGTGCAGTGGTACAATCTTGGCTTACTGCAACCTCCACCTCTTGGGTTCAAGCGATTCTCGAGCCTCAGCCTCCTGAGTAGCTGGGATATTATAGGCATACAACACCATGCCCAGCTAATTTTTCTATTTTTAGTAGAGATTGGGTTTCACCATATTGGTCAGGCTGGTGTCAAATTCCTGACCTTCAAGTGATCCACCTGCCTTGGCCTCCCAAGTTGCTGGGATTACAGGTGTGAGCCACCGCTCCCAGCTAAAAGCACAGATTTTTGAAAGTTTTATTCATTGCTGTAAAATTATTACAAACTAAATATTTGTAAAAATTTATGTTAAGTTTATGAATCTGGGAATAGATTGGAACTCCACAACAAATAGAAAAGATACAAATCACTGCTCATGACATTCTAGTTAGGGAAGAAAGAGGAGACACAAACAAGTAAAATATGTAGACTGTTCAATATTGACAAATTTTTTGATGGAGAAGCAGTGTTCATTTTTTACAATGGGGACCTTTTAAACACTTCTATAAATAGTAAGGAGGCAGCAAAGACAGAGACAGATTGAAGTGGTGAAATTAAAGAGGGATAATCAATTAAGCTATGAACATCTTACAGGGTTGGGATAGATCTTGGTGAAAAAGCTAACTTTGAAAAGGAACAGGAACATCTCACTGATCAAGGAGAAAAGGAAAAAGTATAAATAAGGGAAGAAAAACTTGGAAAGCCTCCTTTTTTTTTTCTGATGAAATACATCTCTCACTTGTATTTTCATACCTAAGAGTTTCACAATGTTAGGATTGTCAAATTCTGCCATGAGGGCTGCCTCCCTCTGAAAGTCCGCTTGCATATCTGCCGAGGCTTCTTCTTTGAGCATCTTTACCGCCACCATAGTGAAAGGTTCATGGGGAAGTAAGCCTGGTGCCCTGAGAGATACATTTATTGAGAAAGAAGCCAAAGATCATGGACATCATACACACCCCTATTATAGCCACCCAAAGTTATACATGTGTAAAAGGCTGGTTGAGGCTCATGCAGCCTTTCCCAGAGCCACAGAATCAAAGAAAGACAACATACTTAAAACTCCTTGATGTCAGCTAATAAAAATCACTGGTATTGTTTTTAACAATTTCAAACAATGAAGTTTGAAAAGATGCATTATTTAAAAATTACAAGAATTCTAAAGTGTACACACCGAATGGGATTATCATTGCCATCCTTAACCTTTTAATCTTTGTCCAGAATCTAAATTTCCTGAAGGAGGAAGCATGACTTACTCATCTTTATACCCACCATTGAGCCTCAAGTGGTGCCTTGCAAATTTTGGTTTCCAATACATATTTGTGTGAGATTTTCATTATTCATGTAACCTATACACTGGGGCCACCATGAGTAGAGATTGAGTTGTGTCTTGCCCTAGAACACCAGGCCAAAGTGACAGTTGGAGATTAAAACCATTCATATTCTCTGGCCCAGCTGTGTGTCTGTGGAGTCACATCCATGCAGCAGAGAGGGTATTTTATTCCAATTCACACAAAGGTGATAAATAGGCTAATATTGGCCCTAAACCATACTCCTTTCTTGAGCTCATTGTTTTGCAAATTTTTGCCTTTTAATTCCTTTTCTGGTTTGTCATTTTATGAACATCTACTTTATATCTATACATTATATTGTAAGGAGTTATTATTTAAAACCATGTAAGAAATTATGATTAAAATATATGATAAATTCTTTTCTGAAAAGGAAATCTGACTGAACTATATTACTAATTTCTTATAATTTGAAAACTGTAGAAATCAAGATACATTTAGATCTCTTATAAATATATGTATCAAGCTAATAATAGTTTGGTAGCTTTTCAGACATAACATATTTCCATGGAGGTTTTTTCCATAGGTAACTTTACCTTGCTTGAAACACCCTTCCAAATGCTCCCTCTCCGATGTCTCTCACGTATTCAATGTTATTCCTTGGATACTCCAGACTGAGCAATTTAGGGTTCAAAAGGAGTGGCATCCTCTGGTACATGGGGTTGGGATGAAGTCTATCTAGCAAGAGCTCAGAAGGCAGTGTGGTGAGGGTTACTGCTGCTGATTCTCTGTGGCAAGACAGGAAAGATCAGGAATGAGTTCAGGAGCAGGTAAGACCTTTGTATTTAGAGTCTAAGAAATATGGCATTTAAGAGTAATGAAAACAAATTATACTAGGGCAGCCAAAGATCCTTCAGTTTGAGAGCAGTAAAATATTTTGTTTGGTCTAGAGTCAAAAGGCACATTTTCTCAAAAATGTTTAGCTGTACAAGCCAGTAGTGGCAATGGGTCTGAGAGGGAAGACAAGGACAGGAATAGCTATTTTCCTTCAAATTATTGTTTAGATTTTACCTGTTGTGAAATAGTAACCTTAGGGCATTTGATTCTATGCCAAAAAGTCATTGACATTTTTAAGGATTATGATGGGGATGCTTAATTTTAAAGCAGGGCTATGGATGTATTAAGAGAGTTGCAGTGTCATATATATTCCCCACACCATACCAACTCCATATTCAACATGAGGTTTTAAAATACTACTACACATGCTTAGCTGAAACTAGAACCTCACCTTTTCTTATTTTTCCATTGTTTTCTTCTTCGGCAGCAATAGAGAGTAGTTATGGTAAGAAGCACAAATATTGCAAAGCTGGACATGATGGAGATTATTACAGTCATGGAGTACGTAGGTGAGACAGAGAAGGAAGAAGAGGAAGAGGAAGGCAAATCTGGAATGTCCACACTTGGCTTTGAGGATGTCATTGGTGGGAATGCTGTAAGTAAACAATAATTATTTCATTCATTTTCAAACCTTTAAGAAGCATTTTTTTTGTATTCAAGCAATCAGTAAAATAAATTTCATGTTAAGAATATATTTATGTATCAGGCTCTCCCTGGTTATATATCTATAAAGTCCAGTAAGGTCTAGTTGTAAGTAAATCCTGCTTATAGAATAATATAATTTAAAAGATGAGACTCAGAGAGAGGAAATAGTTTTCGTTTTGTTTTGTTTTTCCTGAGATAAATGCAGATCTTGGGCTAGTGACATTAGTACTGAATCATAATATCTATGATTTGACATAAATCATGGAAATTATTACATAGAATATTTTCATGTAATGACACTTGACATCAGGATTGTCTAGAGCTGAACTTTTATACACATTTATGGTCAGTTTACAAACAGAATAAAAATCATGAAAGATGAGAAATGAAACTATTAGGACACAAATGAGAAGTTAATTTGTCTAAAAACTGAACTCCTGTAGAACTTCAGTTGAAAAGGCCAATGTGATATGTATACAAGTAAAATCAGCATTACTGTTGAAAACCAAAATATGACATACTCATGCCACTATTTGTAGAGTACAAAGTCCGTTGTATATGTATTATAACAACATTGTTAATTACGTTTTAAATCCTCTTAACAGATTGAGTAAAGACAAAAACAGAGATACAGAATATTTTAAAACAATCAACAACAAGGTTTTAATAGCCAAGAAAAAACTTTGTACTCAAAAACAGAGAATAAACCTTCTTTTTGAATATTTGTGGAATACTGACAGACGTGATTTTGTGTCAGGCCACAAAGATAAATCTCAATAAATTTTAAAAGCAGAAATTATGCATATCTACTTATTGGCCAAAGTACAATTAATAATAGATTAAATAAAATCAAATGGGACACTTTCAAAAAGAAAAAAAATCAATGACTTTTTGATAAAAAGTCAAAAAAACCATAGTTACATTTAGATAAAAGCCTCTTAATTAGTGTGTATTGTATTTAGCCAAAGTTGTGCTAAAAAATAAAGTCATAGTGTTATCTCCTTCCATTAGATAAAAAAGAATGAAAGTGAATGAAATGAACATTTAACTCAAGACTTTGGATAGAAAACAATAACAGAAAACAAAGATAATAGGTAATAAAGTAACAGCCATACACAAGCAGAAATTAATAAGTTTAGAATATGCATAACACAAATGATAAAATTAAAAGACCAGTAGTTGGTTTTATAAATATTCATAAAGTAGTCTAATCAATGGAATTTTAATTAAAAAGATAGGAAAGGTACAAAGAGAAAATTAGAGATGATAAAGAAGTTATAACAGATTCAAAGTTAACAAAAATAAAATAATATGTAATTACATTTTTTACACCTTAAGGAAAATGATAGGAACATATTAATAATCAAATCTGAAGAATTAGAAAATATAAATATTGCCATAGGCAGGAAGCTAGTTTTTCAAGTGATCACATTATAAAATACATTCTTTTATTCTTGAAAGAGATAAAATTTCTATATTTTGTAAAATGTTCCAGTAAGAGAAAAATCCTTCAAATTACTTTAGAAATTATTATAATACTAACATCACAACCTGGCAATGTTAGCACAGAAGAGAAGTGCGTACATAGATTATACAGCATAGGTTTAGAGGATCCTAAATGAAATATTAGCAACTTGACTATATAATTGTCAGAGCATAACGACTTAGTATAAGGGAATATATTAATATAACACATCACAAGGTCAAAAGTAAACCTTTATTGCAGTAGATGCCTAAAGACATTTGAAATAGGACACTTGCAAAATTGGAGGTTACAAGAGATGCCCATGTATGACTTCTTAGTCTGGAAGTGGGACCAGTGATTACGCCCTGAGTACCAGTGGCTAAGCAAGTGATTTTGAAGCCTGCAGAGCACAAGCCTGGTCACCATTGTGACTGAGGCAGGTACCTGGAACTGGAAGACATCAGTAAAACATCTGTGCAAGGCCAGTGATAGCATGCCTCATCCAGCACCACAGGAGTAGTGGACTGAACAGACTGCCCAGGTTCCTCTCTGACTGACTTGAAAGCTAGTCTGACTCTCTTTGGACTGAATCATCCCAAGTTTTCTTAATCTAAGATGGATAGAGAGGGGGGCTTAAATTGGAGAGCTTTGCTTTCTGCTAATAATAAAGCTGAAAAATTATTAAAACATAGGGAGAAATAACTATTTTTGTATTTGGAGTTTACAGAGCAGCACACACCATATATAACAGACGAGGGAATATAATATAATTAGTAAAGTTGGTAGTATAATTTCATTGGTAAATATAAGGCTAATTTTTCTAAAAAGAATCAGAAAGTGGAATGTAATGGCATGTTAAAAGAAAAATCTATGATGATTTAGTGAGGTTTCTTTTTAAAATGCAAAAAGTGACAGAGTTGGAATAATAATTCTGCTTTGTAGATTTAAATATTTCCTTCAAGATAGTTTTGTTTTGTTATTCCTTGATGCCTGCTTCTGATTTGATCCGATCTTCCCTTGAGCTACATCAATGATCTCTTTGGATCTAAATGATCACTTTTGATCTCCATTCTTTTTCCTTTTTATCCTTTTTCTTCTCTCACCAATTTTCTCTCTTTATTCTTTTACTCTGAACACTATGGGAGTTTATGCACTCATTCATCCATATGTAAATGCATTCACTAAATCAATATTGATTATTAGGTATCAAGAATACTGTGGTAAAAATGACAAGTCTTTGCTTGTCACAAGAAACAAGTGAGTAAATGGAGAATTAACAAAATATAAGAAGCATTGTAAGAGTAGTAAGAACACGATGCTGATGAGTGTTCAGGGCTGGCACTAACTCAGGTTTAGACATACCGGGGAGGTTTTCTAGAGTGAGTAACTGTAAACATAAATGGTGAGTAGCCAGTAACCAATTGAAGGTTGTGAAGATCTTAGTCTTTATGTCTTTCCCCCAAATTCATATGTGTAAATGAATAAGGTAGAGTCCTGATAAATGGGATTAATGCCCTTATAAAAAGAGGTCCAAGAAAGCTCTCTTATCCCTCTGCCATGTGAGGACACAGAGAGAAGACAGCTATGTCTTGAGGAATGGGCCCTCATTCAAGAGTTCTTTACCCAGCTAACACATTTTTCAATTACCCAAGTAAAAGAAAACAATTTGATAATATACAAAGCTTCAGGGATTCTGTTTCTCAAGATGCTTTCCCTTCTGAGGAAATACATGAGGAGACTCTTAAGAACAATCGAATCAGAAAGTGACTTCAAGATAAATATAAATGGACTGTGATGGGTGGGTCTTGTCTAATTCGCTGGAGGAGACTCAGCATTGAGAATCACTCTGCAAAGAGAAACCTACGAGTACTAGGGGAGGTAAGGAAGAAGATCTGAGCATTCTGAGGATCTCACTGGAGATTCTGACAGTCCCATAGGTTGGGGAGAAATGAGGAACACATAGAGCACAGCAATGTGTAGAAAGAATTGGTGTCTGACTTTCACTTAGCAGTGGAGAAAACAAACAGCAAGTAAAGAAAAGGAAAAAGAAGAAGCAAAAAAGTAAAGTGAGTAGCAAATGCACAGTTAAGATAGTAGGGACAAAATCGAGTACATCAGTTGGTACATTAAATATGAAGAGGCTAAATCTTCCTATTAATAGAATATGGCTGTTAGATTGGAGTAAACCCAGGTATATGTTGTTTATATGAAAAAAAAATAAAAGAGGGACAAAGAGGTTCTAGGTTAATGTAAATACATGGAAAGAATTACCATTATTGATACTAGAAATTTAAAGCTAAAAGCACTAAAACAAGACACGAGTGACATTTTACATTGGTAAAAGGCTTTGTATAAGAAGAAAGTGTCTTGGATCACTATGCCTCTTAGACCATAGTAACTAAACATATGAAGTGCAAATTATAAATGCTAGAAAAATCTAATAAAAATAATTCTGAATTGGATTGATCTAGTAGAAATTTAATTAGAAAATCAACTAAATCAGTAAACTCATATGTGAGTTTAGAAGGGCTAAAATTTTATGAGATTATTAGAAGGGCTATTAATTTCATGAGATTAGACAGCTAGCATGAATTTATGCTAATAAAAGAACAAGACCTTATCACAGAAAATATGGTTGCATTGAAATTCTGATCAGCTCATATTCTGTGCATTGTGTTCAATTCTGGGTATTCTCAAGCTTATGTGCACCCAGTAAAGAGTAAACATGGAGGTGAGGATTTTGGAAGTCAGTTGCAAAAGAAAAAGTTGAAAATTGGAGATATTTAATGTGAAGCAGAGAAGCTTACAGAGATTGAGTATTTATCTCCAAATATTTAAGGACTGTCATATAGAATATAAATAAATAAAAGAAGTAGAGTGAAGGTAAGCTGTTGAAAGTTCTAGAGAACCGGAATTGGTTCTACATAGCTAAATTGTTTAATAACTAATATATTCTACAAAGGAATTAAGAAATAAATTGAGGAGGAAAAAGGGAATGTTTCTGTCAGAGATGCTCTGGAAAACATTCTTTCATTGTGGGAGAGTTCGGATTAAATAACCTTTAAATTTACTTTTAACTCCAATTTTCTATGAACTTGTAACTTTAATATCACCACAAAAATTACCCAAACTTCATTTCAAATTATGAAATCATGAGTTTTACATACATGCACACGCACACACAGGGAGACATTTTATGATTTCATTTGTGGGCAAAATGGTAGCTGATCATTATGGAAAAATGGTCTGGGACACAAAGCATGTATTCATTTAAATGTCAACAAAAAGTCTAATCATCAAGTTGCCTGGGTGATTTAAAATTGTGAACAATGAAATTGTTATCAATAGGACCTTCTTAAGAATAATCAATTATAACAATTGTGAAAAGGTAGTGGTATTTATTCAAAAATGAATCAGTTAAACAATCAGTTAAGCTTTATTACACATGAGGTCTTGGAATTAAAACTTTAGTGATAGCAGAAAGGCATTAGGTATAATATGTAGGAAATTAGGCCCTGAGGACAGAGCCACAATCAGATAGATTTGAGTTCAATAGCTGGCTCTTCACCTTACTATATGGGTAAAATTCATCTCTCTTTCTCATGTTGAGTTGTCTATAAAATGGAAGACATTCATAGTGCTTAATTTCATAGGGCTATTGGGAGTATTGAGAGACATAATGGATATATCACACTAATCAGTTTGGATTTGGGTACATTCATTGGGTCCTTCATTCTCCATATATATGTAAGAAAGAGCAAAGATGGAGGAAAAAAGAGAATTCAAGAGAATAGCAAATCATTATTGCAATGATTAAGACAGATAACGTTTTCTCCACAGCACCTCTGAAATAGAAGACAGATTCACTGCTGAGTGTTTATGTAGAAAGTATGTGAAGTCTCATGGAAGAGAGGAATAGGGTAATCCTTGCTTAGCAGACAAATAATGTAAATAGCACAAAGGCATTGCCTGCTCAAAAAGATGTTTCACTTCAGCCAGAGAAATTAAAAAAAAAAAACCAAAAAAACAAAAAACTACTGAATTTCTAGTCCCTGTGTTCAAGGAAGAAGAAAATAACACAAAGATAAACAAATGCTTAACAGCTCTTTCGTGACCTCTCCAAATGAGCTGGTGATTTTCTTTAGAATTTACTCAGAAATCAAGACATTCTTTAAGAAATATTTGAGGGCTTTACATATTCCTGTAAAATATGGGAAACTGCCTAATAAGGATGTTTTCTTTGTTCAACTACTGACCTGCTAAAGCCAACTCTTTTAATAATAATTTCTTTTAAATCAGGGAGTGTACTTTCAGACATTCCCTACCCTATTTTCAGTTTAAATGATCAGTTTATGACATTAGGAGCTCATTTCTAACATGTATCAAAGATTTCATAAAGCTTTTGTTAAAGACTAGAAAATTTATTATTGTAGCTATTTTGTGCCACTCAAAGTTCCTTTATAATTAGTGTGAAAGGCAGAAATATGGATACTTTTTAATGTATTGTTCCTGTCTAATTTAAGATGAATGGTCTGCTCCTTCCACACAGTAAACCTTCAATGAATGTTTGAATGGATGAGTGAGTAAACAATTGATGGATAACAAAGAGCACAGTCATCAATTAAAACTCCAATCAAAGTAAATTTTGGTTGCTCATATGACAAAGAATTGAAATTCTTTTTTATTCCTTTGATTTGGAAATAACAATTTGACAGGATACCAGAATAATAGATTTTTAAGATTTCCTAACACTTCTTGGTTAATAACCTGGCATGATTCAACTGGGACCAGTAGTGGTCTTTCTTTTAATACTTCAAGTGTTGGTCCTTTAAACAAGCTGATAAAATCAAGTCCTGGCACCTAGCCACGTACACAGGGGATTAGGCCTGGAATAGATATTACAGGAAGTGTGATTTAAGCCTTAGAACACTGAGACCACAGGAAGTTAATTGACATGAAAACCTTTTCTAATTTCATCCTGAGGATTTCTGTGTACTGACAGGTTAAAGCACTATCTGATTCAAGTTAGTTTGTAGGACATTCAAGTAACCTTCTTGAATTCTTTCCTAGAGATTTTTGTGATGATCTTTTTTAAAGCCATTTGATTTGATCCTATAAGCTTTATACTAGAAATCAACTGTCTTAAAAAATACCTAACTTCCAAAAGAGGGATCTGTTGTCACAAACAAAGATCACAAATTGGCTCAATGAAGAAATAAATATTGGTTTCATCTATAAATAATTAGATTATACCAAATCACAATACAAAATCAAAAGGTGACATTTTAAATTTGGCTGACTTTACAGACACACAAGAAATAAAACAGGCTGACAACTTTAAAGTGGGAGATAGTATTTGTATGATTCACTAAATATGGTACTTTCTATGGTCGAATAAAAAGCCATAAACTGAGATCTTCCATGATCTTCCCTCATGAGTATGGTGGATGAATATGGTGAGAAGAAACCTTTGAGAGGGGCTGTACTCTGTTCGGGGCATCAGGAAATATGAGTGTAAACACACATGCATGAATCCAATTACATACACATACGGTTTCAAGGGCACAAACACAATTACTTACTTTTTAGGTTTTCTTTGTTATAATCTGAAGGGGAAAGGATAAAAATTTGTTTTAGGTGAGCATACAGATATCTCACATTTTATGTGAGAGACTGCTAAGAAATGCAAGTTCTCTTTCAGCTTTTTAATACACAACTGGAAAACATTCTTTGCATTCGATTATGAAAGAATTGGATCTTTGAAATTAAACCAGCTGTTAGGGATAACAACATAGTTCCTTACAAACGATGTTCATTAAAGCAACATGAAGCAATTCAGTTTTGTTTTGTGAAATCAGCATTTTCAAACATGTGTCTTATTTTTAGCATGCTTTCTTGGCTAAGAAAAAGCACTTCATTCCTTTATTTCACTCTTCTGACAAAATCTGAGATGTTTCTTAGCCGTTTTTCTGCACATTCCAGAAAATGTTACAAGCTCTCGTAAGATTCCCTATGAAAGAATCTAAAAGGTCAAGCAGTAGTTAAAAGTGTTGTTGCACTTATTTTAGAGCAAATGAAATAAATTCTTATGCAAACCTGTGCAATTAGGATAGCATTAGAATTCCACTAGTAGGTATCTAAGGAAGGCAGAACTCAAAAAAAAAAAAAAAAAAAAAAAAAATAGAAATGCCCCTAGAAATACTAGAAGCTGTAAGTTCGCATCTTAGTTTCTTCAAAATAGTAAATTTCTCTTAACCTCCAAGGTCTTGGGAGAACTCTTTGTTACCTAGATGTGGCAGCCTGGCACAGGCCATGGGATCCCAGTGCATGCTGGGGAGCTTGCTGCAGTCTGGCACAGACAGCAAATGCATCTCAGATCTGTAGAGTCCTCTGTGGGTCTTCTCTTCCATTGCCAGCCATTCTTTTGCACAGAAGAGCTCCTTTACTGCCAAGCAGTATTCTCTAAAATATTTTATGGAGAACAAAACTTGATGAATCATAACATGTTAAAGCAAATTTGTGGCAGATCCTAAATTCTGTGTTTTAAAGACATCATCATTGTACATTGTCTGTTCTTGAAAAAGCATTATGAAAGCATTTACTTTTTTACTGTAAATAATACAAGACTTTATGAAATCAAGTGTACTGGCCAGTGAGATGAAATCCTAATCTCATTTTGTTGTCAAACACAATGCCAGACTGGGGAGAAAAATGTCAAATTTAAAACATATTAGATTGGGAATCTCTGATACTTCTTTCCCCAACTTCATATTCAAATAACACAGGTAGATAAATAAGGTATACAGAGTTTAAAAAACACACCTGCTGAAAGTCAGGATCATTGTCAATCAGTTTCCAGCTGGAAGATTTTTCTATAATCTTGGGGCTAATGGGTAGGGTTTAAGTCTGTGGCTCTGTGTGCTTTGTCCTCTGAAACAGAACAGCATCACCTCCCTGGCAGTTTATAGGAGGGCATGTGGGTCCTTACCCAGCCCTTACTTTGACACACAGAATCTTGTTCCATTGCTATGCATGCTTCTATCTGAGAAAGCCCAAGTTAATATCTGTTTGAATATGAAGCTGTTATATTCATCTACATGTTGTATTATGAGTGAAGGGGCTGAAGAAACACTAGTTGGATGACTTGGAATTTTGTGGATTAGTATTTCTTTAAGCCTGATAAAAATAGGACAGACTGCATAGGAGAAACCTGATTAATTTCAAATGAAGGTATTTGGGGTTAACAATAAGACAAAATTAAAGATAATTAACTAAATTAAACATAGTAATAGCAGATGTCCTTTATTCAGTATCTGAAGGATTGAGAGAGGAACTTGTTAGTGTGTGTATACATACATCAATGGTGTCTTTTTCGTACTTATTCCCACACTCCTGCTTTCCTAACTTGCCAATATGCGCTAATTGAGCATGCGTAGAATAAAAGGCTATGCATATGAACATGATGAGATGCAAAGATATTCTTATATGGAGATAACAATGGGATTTATAATTCTTGGTTTGTGTGAGGGAGAAGGGGATATAATGGACTTTCAAGACTTCTCATAAGGTAAAGGACCTGAGGAGAGTTGCTTAGCTTGGTTCCACCCCTGGGTTGTATAAGCACATTTTTTTTTTTTTTGGCATGCAGACAGCGTAAATTGTGCAAAAATCAATATGGGACATATGAAAAAAATTCCATACTTTACATTATGCAGAAGAAGCAAATACCTGGGAATTTTAAAAATCTAAATAGAATAACACATTAATGAATGGCTTTTGATTTGCTTTTTTGTTCTCATTGCCATACACTAAAGCATGCCCTCTATAGCAGAGTTTTTCACAAGAAAAAAACAAATCAGGATGAACTATAGACTGAAAAGTAGGATAATTTGAACATGGAAGTATTACAGAAAATAAAAACCACAAAAAATAAAACCAACACTTACAATCTTCACTGAAAATAGAAAACAAATGGGACTACAAGAAATAAACAAATTTGAACTAAATATTCAATTGAATGCAGAAAGAAAGGACCTAAATGAATGCAAGAAAGGCTAAACAGATGAAAGTAATGTGTGAAATAACTGATAAGGTAGAGCAAGTAAGAAATCCAAAGTCAAAGAATAGTGTTTCTCAGCAAGAGAAGCAGATCACATAAATAATAGAAAATCAAAAATGTGGCATAGGAAATCATTTTTAAGATTAAAAGGACATAATGTTTAGAGCGTATTATCCATTATTTTTTATATTATTTATATTACATGAAAGAAAACAATGAAAATAAATCTATCACCAAATGAATTTTATAAATATTGTGAATCACAAAGATTAGAGAAATAATCTTTCTACCATCTGGAGAGAGGAAAACATTCCTTACAAGGGAACAAAAGTGGGGATTGCTTTCTGCTTCCTCTTCATTACAACATGGCCAGAAAATAATGGTCAGAGTCCATAGTGTTTGAGGAGAACTAACACAAGAACTGAGACTTGTGTTAACACAGACTTAAATCCCAGTCAAAAACACATATGTAAGATAACACAAATTTTTTTACATGTAAAAATCACCTACTCTAGCTAAATGAGAGATGAGTAGAGATGAATGAACAATAAGTGAATTAAAATTAGGAATTTAAGAAAAAGATTTTATTTGAAATCAATGACAATGAGTATTAATGATAAGTAACACAGTAAGCTCCTCCAAGTATCTACTTATATATGATTATGAAATCCGATGTAAAAACTAAGAATAATGGTCCAAAAATTGAACATATGCAAATATAATTGAACAATAAAAATATGGTTTATAATTTCAGATAAAGTTTCAAAGAACAAGTTTGGAGGATTCAAAACGATTATGCCAACTTAATTAGGTCTACCCTGAATACCTTGTTTTTAAAGTTACAACTTTCTCCCCTCCCTTTGGTATTCCTGGTCTTCCTTACCCTATCACTCCTTTTTCCTTTTTCCATGACATTTAACATCTTCTAAATTTATATATGTCATTTAATTATTATGTTCATTAATATATCTCAAATACCCAGTGTAGTACTTGGAGCCTAGAAGGAGATCAATAAATATTTGCTGGGCACGTACAATTCCATGTCATTCATGAAAAGAGTCACTCATCGCTGAATGATTGTTTATATCAGGCTGATGTAAAAGTAGTTGCGGTTCTTGCCATTACGTTTAATGGAAAAAAAACTCCACAATTACTTTTGCAGCAACCTAATAATTAGAAAGCCATGAGTGATAGCATGCTTTTAAAAATCTCACAAGCCAGTAGAAGTAGAAAATAAAATGGCTGACAACTTCTGAACTACTTTGACAAATAAAGGCAAACAGAGACTTTTTCAAAAGATAAAACAAAAAATGAAGATCAAACTTACCAATTATCAGCACTTAATTCAATTTTAGTTTAATATTTATTGGTGCAAAATACAAGAGAGCAGAAAAGACTGAACATAAATATATGAATTTTGTATGTTAATGGAAGAGACTAAATCTTTATAAATGCTAATTTATTATATATCAGATAAAATAAAATATTAAAATGTAAAACTTTTTAGATTATATTTTCTTCAATGGGAATAAGATGTTTAGTGATGAGGATTTTAAAAAATAAAACATTTTTTCAATAAAATAATTTAAATATTTAAATAACAATGGGAATTAGAAAAGTTTTAAACATAATACTGCAAATGACTTACAGTTTTAGGAAATAATGAACTAAATCATTCTATTATAAAGACACATGCACACGTATGTTCATTGTGGCACTGTTTACAATAGCAAAGACTTGGAACCAACCCAAAGGCTCATCAAGGATAGAGTGGATAAAGAAAATGTGGCACATATACACTATGGATACTATGCAGTCATAATAAAGAATGAGTTCATGTCCTTTGTAGGGACATGGGTGAATCTGGAAACTATCATTCTCAGCAAACTGACACAAGAACAGAAAACCAAATACAACATGTTCTCACTCATAAGTGGGTATTGACCAATGAGAACACATGGCCACAGGGAGGGGAACATCTCACACTGGGGTCTGTTGGGAGGTTGGGGGCTAGGAGAGGGATAGCAGGGGCTGGGAAGATTGGGGAGGGATAACATTAGGAGAAATACTTAATGTAGGTGATGGGAGTTGGAGGCAGCCAACCACCACGGCATGGTACACCTATGTAACAATCCTGCAAGATCTGCACATGTACCCCAGAACTTAAGAGTACAATTTAAAAAAAAGAGATTTATCATAATTTATAGACCATATTGTTTCTATCAGAGGAAGCATAGACTATCAATCAAAACTCAAATAGAATACTATAAAGCAGTTGAGGCATATAAATATAATAAAATGAAATGGCTTTATTATGTAGCAGTAACAACTTGTTACATAAAATGGAAAAAAATACCCACTTGTTGGCAAGGATCAATAATTTAGGACTGATGAGACTTGATTCCTCTCAATAATTAGGATATATAATACCAAACAAAATTGGAATAAACTACAAATTGCAGGAATATATTATTTGGATGATCCGTTGTGTCTAGAGCTGGTATCTGACTTTTTTGTTGTTGTTGGCAGTCATCTTGAGTGGCCTACCATTTCTATACTAACTTTTCTTTTGATACTGCAGTTGTTCAGATGAATTGCTTCATAATTCTTAGGTAGCATGAGGGGGAGCATGCCCCTACCTACTCCTTCACCTATTTGTATCTCAACCACTCAAATGTGGCAATGAAAAGGAACAAATCACTGTTACATGTGGCAGTATGGATGAATATCAAAAACATTATGTTGAACAAAAGAAGTCAGACACAGAGCAGTATATATTGTACAATTTTATGAGTATGAGATTCAGGAACAAGCAAAACTAGTTATATACTATGGTCAGAGAAATCAGAACAGGGATGCCATTAGAGATAATGGGAATTGGTTAGAAATGCGTGTAAGAGAACTTTATGGGTGATGAAAACATTCTATGTCTTGATTGGGGTAGTGGTTACACAGTTGTATTTTTGTCAAACTCTGAACCATATGCTTAAAAGGGGTACGGTTTCTTGCATATAAATTATACTCCTACCAAGTATCTCAAAAAAGAATGCATTTTTAAAAATCTGATTCATATGATCCAAAAAATTACATAGTTCAACTCTAATGTATGAAAATTCTAAAGAAATTAATAGTAGTTTTATTAAAATAGGAACAAGAGAATTAATTGCATCCCTATGTTTTATGGGCATTTCTAGCCTCCTGTAATAACTATATTATAATTGATACTCTTGCAACAATAACAATGACTATAAAACACACCTAGTCATAAACTTAATAAAAAAAGGAATATGTTACTAGCAGGCATAAAATAAGATCCGTATAAAAGGAATGGCATACCGTACGCCTGAATGAATACTCACTAATGTAAATACAATTATTTGCCTTAAATTAATTGTATAAACTTAGCATCATTCTGATGAAATTCCATTCACTGGCAAAATGTTTCTAAATTTCATATTTAAAAATTATTATATAGTAAGTTTTACAATATAATTATATAACATGTTATATAATTTTATAGCTTATAACATATTTTTATAGTTATATAATTATAACATATAATTATTTTTAAATATGAAATTTAGAGGCATTTTGCTAACGGCCGCATGTAATAATTAAAAATAATTATATAAGTAAACACATTTTTAAAAGATGATAAACTGTGAACTTCATAGCACAAAATTTCGAAATTAATTATGAAGACTCAATAATTAAATCCAAAGTCTCTAGTGCAAAAATAGACAAACCATCAATGAAATAGAATTCAGAGTACAGAAATATAGATAGAAGTAAATATAAACACGTATCTCAGTAGTGACCAACTCTTTGGGTTTTAGCAATGAAAGAACTGTGTTCCAAGAAAGTCCTCCATCCCAGGCAAATGAGAATGGTTGGTTACCTTACCCACCCTTTCTCTACAAATACAAGTGATTCAAAGATTTTTTTGCTATTTAGCAAAATTCAAATATGCTTCATCATTTCCATTGCAATGAAAATAACATTGATAAAAGAAAGCTCAATAATCATTCATTATTATGAATTCATTATACTTTCATTATTATGAATACGTCAATAATGTATGCTGTAGGTAATTATTAATTGCATTATATAAAACGTAATTTCTGATGTATGTCACTAGTTTTTCTGAATCTGTGCCATTTAAGGCAAATCTTAAGTATTATTAGATAAGGTGCATTTTTAGATGAGATTTTAGTTGGATGCAGTGGCAAAGCTTATGAAAGTATAGCATGCTGAGAAGAGTTTGACATAAAATAAATGCAAACCATGAAGCTTGTGATGGCAGAACCTGATTTCATATGATTACCATGCAATGATGACTCAGCTATTTAATAACAACCTAGTGTATAGAATACAATATTGTAAAAAGTTCACTTGAGGCATGATAATTAGTGTTATGATAAATGCATTATTATTATTATTATTATTATTATTTGAAACAGTCTCTGTCACCCAGGCTGGAGTACAGTGGTATGATCTTGGCTCACTGCAGATAAATGCATTATTTTAAATCAAAAGAACGAGGATGAAAAATTTCATTTGTGGTAATGGGACAACTGGCTAACTTGATAGAATAAATCAGAGTCAACTATTCCCAAATTGAAATCATAAGAAAAAACTTTATAACAAGATTAGGACAAACTTTATAACAAGATTAAATGACAAAGGCAGAAACTATAAACAAAGAGACTGATTGACTTCACTACAAAAATAAAAAATATTCACAAATTGTGCCTTCCAGAACAGCCTGTTATACATAAATATAATATGACATTAGAGATTTTCTTCTAAATAAGTAATCTGGTGATGGCGTTTTAGGGGGCTGGGTGGGTAGGAATGAGATAAGATTGACCCTGAGCTGAAAATTGTTAAAGCTGGGTGATTGGTATCTTGGCATTAGTCATACTATAATCTCTACTTTGTATATATATATGAAAATGTCCATAATTAAAAAATAAAAACAGGCCAGGTGTGGTAGCTCACGCCTGTAATCCAAGCACTTTGGAAGCCAAGGCAGGCAGATCACCTAAGGTTGGGAGTTCAAGACCACCTGACCAACATGGTGAAACCCCGTCTTAAAAATAAATAAATAAAAACCAAAGTTCACTTTGCATTGGGAAAAATAATTTATAGAATGTGTAATAAGCACATGGGTAAGTGATCATAATCTTACAATTTTATTAAAAAGAATAAGCAATCTAGTGGCAAAATGGGTAAAGGCTATAAATAGAAAAAAAATTTTTTAATACCTAAAATTGTCAAGTATACTTTTTTATTTTCTGCTTAGTGTTTTTTTGGTACATTCTATTTTTTTTTATACAATTGAGTCTTGTGGGTTTTGTAATTAGAAAACCACAATGGCTGTCACACATACACAGAAAATTTTCTAATCTAATTATTATTCATCTCAAGCATCTGTCCATGGTGTTGAGCTGATTTGCCTGAGTGTCACTGTGTAAGTATGATAACTATTCCAGTGGCCACCACAAATTACGTAGGAAGTACTAAAGGAAGAGCTGATAGACTCTACTGTCACTTTATTTTGCTTGTTACATTTTTGTTTATTATACACGTGTTACTTTCTAGCAAAAGGATTTTCATTTTTGAGCAGTATATCAAATGACCAATTTTGGAGAATCTTATAAAGAAGCTCAAGAAAGAAAAATCTAAAGAAGTGACAATTAACAGAGGCACTATTTTTTTCGAATAACTGCAAGGACAGTTGAAATAGCATTAGTATTTCTTAAATTATGTTAAAACAAATTTTACTGCCTCTCACTCATTCTTCCCATTTTTTTTTTGCAATAACTTTACTTTTTTTCTCCTTCTCTTTCCCCTTCTTATTCCCTCAATGCTGAAGTCCCTAGAGATTTTTAGATGACATGCCTGATCACAATACAACCATCTTAGGTGAATAAACAAATTATATTACTCTTACAGTGTAATAAGCCCTCAAACATTGCAGTAAATTGAGGACTACATGACTCCAAGCCCTCAAACTTTGCAGTAAATTGAGGACTACATAACTCTAATTTAATGACCATACTGTAATTATTATATACTAAATAGAGAGTGTCCTAAAATTATTGCAATATTTAAATAGTTTCTGGTTTTATCAAACTGGAAGTGGAAATGTGCTGTGCTGATAATTTTCATGGTTTTCTTCCCATAGAAAATTTAGGAATAACAATGTCTATCTAGTTTCTGACATATTCTGTGGGTGTGATTTATCCTTTAATCCTCTCAACTCTACTGGGCAGATGAGGAAACTGAAGTTTAGCCAAGACCATACACATCAAGGAAGCAGAACTAACAGTATTTAGACTTTGTTCTATTTGATTCAAAAACTAGATTGGTTCTTTTCTTTTCTACATTAGAAGTAATTAAAGATGAAGATAATTCTACAGAACATGAATTTACCAATTTCAGTAGTTTAAAAGTATGAAAGTTTTAAAAAAATATCTATTTATAATCTAATTCCCTTCTATACCCACCCAAATGAGGCAACAGCATCAGAAATTAGAATTTTGGATGGACTGTACTTTAAAATAACATTTTGAAATGCTTGTCATGATCTCATTTATTGACAAATACGTGACACACAGTCTTTATTTTCTCTATCTTGGCTTACTCATGGACCTCATTAGAAGTCCATGCTAGTTTAAGATTTCTCCTTTCATTTGATAGATATCAGGGATATTTATGGATATAGTAATATGAACAATGACAAGAGTAAGGGAATATACCTTTTATGACATCTTCTAGAGGTTCTAAGTACTTGTATTTTAGATTATCTTCAGTGATTTACGTGTTAGAAATTTTGTCTGATTAATTACCTCCTATTTGTTTTCTTGTTTGTTTGTTTGAGACCAAGTCTCACTCTGTCGCCCAGGCTGAGTACAGTGGTGTGATCTCAGCTCGCTGCAACCTTCACCTCCCTGGTTCAAATGATTCTCCTGCCTCAGCCTCCTGAGTAGCTGGGATTACAGACATGCACCACCACACCCGGCTATTTTTGGTATTTTTAATAGAGACAGGGTTTCACCACATTGGCCAGGTTGGTGTTGAACCCCTGACCTCAAGTGATCCACCCATCTCAGCCTCTCAAAGGGCTGGGATTGCAAGCATGAGCCACTGTGCCCAGCCATCACCTCCAGTTTTGGATGGAAACACACTTTTTCTTTTACTGTTGGACATTACAATTTCTTTCAAAACCTCCTTCTGTTGTGCAGATAGAAAAATGGAATTTTTCCTTTGACTGATTTTTGAGATTTTACCTGCAAATGGGAGTAGGAGTAGGCACTACTCCAGGACTGCACTCCTGGAAGATGTGGTTACACAATAAAGCCTCAGCAGCTGGCCGGCAGAGTGGGCTCACTACTTTCAGTTCATTCCAGGCAGCATGGACCAGTAGCTCTTGGGCCTCCTCAGGGTCCGCATAAGAGGTGTTGAGAAAAACAAGAGCATCTTTTGCCAGGACTGCATTACACTACCTCCCCTCTGTACTGGGCGCAGTAGCCTTTGTTATCTTTCTGTGGTTTACTGAAAGAAGAAATGAACAACACTTCTAATCACATGCTATTTCTTGGCATTCATTCTGGTTTTCCTTTCTTTCTTTTCTTTTTTTTTTTTTTTGGTTTCCACATCTGTGTCACAGAAATAGGAGAAAATTGTACTAGCAAATTGGTTGACATGCTCCATTTGAATATTGTCTTCATTTCCAGCTGCAATTATATCATCTCTAGCTACTCCACAGGGCTATTGAGAAGGCAAAACATGACAATAGTTGTAAAAAGCTTTGGAAACTCTCAAGGACTGAATAGATTTGGGTATTTGTATTATTTTACATTATAAATAGAATCCGACTACTCTTAGTTAAGACACATTACAGACTTCTTGCCAATAAGCTAATATAAGCAAAGATGCATCTAGAAGATATTTCATCATCATGGTTAACAAATAATTGAGCATAATAATAATTGCTATCAACTAAAAAGTTTGCAGCTTTAGGAATATAGTTTATTTACATGTTAGGATAGTTTACCTTGATTTTTTTTTACAACATATACATCTTTGCAACACCTTCCATACTCAGATTTTCTCACTCACACATCTTTCTAGAATTCCATTAAAGAAAAAGAAAGTCATGTAGGGAGGAGAAAGCAGAAATACGGCTTCTAGAGGCGCCAAGTAGCACCTTCAGCTTTGCTGTTTTCTCATCACACGTCTCATCACGTAGAAAGTCAACTGGTCAGCCAGTGCCTCAATGATCTATTCTGTAGAGTGAGGTAAATGATTACTCCGAACTCTGATGATTGTGTGTTACTGGGCAATAATATTAGGGAGAAACCTGTAAATGCTATAGTGCTAGCACAAACATAGGATTAAAAACTTACCTGCTATAATAACTGAAGACAATCAGGAGAATGGAACATGCTGCTGGTACTCTCTTCACACATCTACTTGTTCCCTTAATGGAATGCTGGGAACTATAACAACTCATATGCTCACCTGACAAACATTGAGTTGAGTACTTACTATGTGTAGGCACTGTGATGACCTCAATATATTCTTATGGCTTCCATCAGATCTTCCACAGTGTTAGTAATGACAGAAAACTCTTAAGTTGTATTCTCATTTAGATTTGTACAACTATTGGATTTAACTTAGTTTCTTTTTTCTTATCCCTGCCCATATCTTTGCAAATAGTCACTATTCTCAATGACTCCATCTGAGTGTGCCATCCATTTCCTGGCAGGACCAGGACTGATACGAAGATGAATTGAAAGCATTTTCCTACCTTTTTTCTTGGCTTGCTTTCTTTCTTTCTTTCTTTCTTTCTTTCTTTCTTTCTTTCTTTCTTTCTTTCTTTCTTTCTTTAATATACTTTAAGTTATAGGGTACATGTGCAGAATGTGCAGTTTTGTTACATCATTCTCAGCAAAGTAACACAAGAACAGAAAACCAAACACTGCATGTTCTCACTCATAAGTGGGAGTTGACCGATGAGAACACAGGGAGGGGAACATCACACACCCGGGTCTATGGCAGCGGGTGGCGGCTAGGGGAAGGAGAGCATTAGGAGAAATACTTAATGTAGATGACAGGTTGATTGCATGCAGCAAACCATCATGACATGGATTTAGCTTTTCATTGTCTTTATATAAAGAATTTAAAGAAATTAGAATTTGTAGCAAATTTTAAAATTGTTACATGACCCCATTTGAATTTGAAAAATTGATATTATAATTACCATCACTGGCTGGTCTTTAAATCAAATTCATTAGAATGAGATATAATACATTCAGGTAAAACAATAAACTTCCAAAAACACAGCTATACTTTAATGTTTTATAATATAGTCTTCCTTTAATCCATACTAGCCTTTTACTAAGTAGCCAACATGATTTTTACTGTATCACTTTGTTGGGGATATTTAAAATGAAGGCCTTGAATAAGAAAGCACAAAACTCCATTAAAACTTTCTTAAGCTAAAGGTAAGAGAACACCCAGAGAAAATTAGAAACAAGATGTTGTTGGGGCTCAGAATACAGTACCCCAAAGTGAAGGCCTAATAAGCAGCCTCAGAAACAGTCTCTCTGACCTTCTTCTGCCATCCTGTCTCTCCTCTCTTTCTCCCCTAAGGCAATCCTTCCACACTAGAATCCCTCTTTTCCAAGACAGATCATAGACACCAGAACTCTCAAGGCCAGCCATGAAACCTAAACATTTGCTCTACCCACCCCAGCTTTTCTGTGTAACACTTGGCCATAAAGAAATTCAGACCCTCATTCCAGAGAAAGCCTACCTCTAACCTGGGAGGAGGGGGTGTTGCATAGAGAGGATAAGAAAAATCTGAACAGGCAGGACAGGCTAGTTTCCCCATTCAGTCTATTAGCATTAGATCATCCCCTTTGTGTCTAATCATATTTCTACACAGCTCTTCATATTTCATTGAACCTGCATAAAAATGGATTGCTTCCCCTGTATCTTCGGGTCTTCATTCTGAAGGGTCCCATATTATATAAAACTATGATCAAATAAATTTGTTATGCCCTTCTCTTGTTAACCTATCTTTGTTAAACAGGTGTCAGCCATGACTCTTAGGATGCGAAGGAAAGGAATTAACACCCGCCCAGCTCCTACACTGTGCTTTTAGAAACTAGATAATAAGTAGCAACCAGAAATATCTCAAATTGGCTTACAAAACGGCCTCATGTGTTGATGTAGTATCTCGGCATAAAGGCAGGGATGAATGAGAGCATGTGTGACCCTTTACACTTAACAGAAAAAACTCCACCATGTAAAAGTTAAATATTTCCCAGAGTCTCTGAGCTGAGAATTATTCATGCAGGTTTTGCTGTCATGTGTTAAATAGTCAATGATGCTGTTCTTCATTTTCCATGAGTATTTTTAAAAATACACATTTATGATGTTTAATTATATATCAAAACACATTTTTTTGAAAATTGGAAACTAAGAAAAAGTACACAAAAGAAAAATTAATGAAAGTAGCCTCAGAGATAAGGATTACTAACAATCAACTAACAGTGAACCCCTCTGTCTGAATTTCTGCTGCTGCTTTTAATAACAGCCCTGAAAAATCTTTGGAACAACCTCAGAATGACTTAATAGTAATGAATTCTCATTAGTTTTACAACATTAATTATATAATGCAAAAAACAAAACAAAAGAAAAAAAAGACAATGGTTTTGAACAGAAATGAGAAGATCTTGGTTTTAGTTTTATTTTTTTCTTCCTATCAGCCTGATGACCACTAGCCTATAAAAACCCTTTATGTGCTGGAAAAAAAAATACACATACAAAGTATATGATTATTATTAGTTTTCTACATTTCATTTCCATGATTTTCCTGTTATGATTAAGGACTTGGCTTTGGTAGTATTTTCGGTGCTTGGATTAGCTTTAAAAGGTAAGGCACACACAAGACCATCTCTCTCTCTCTCTCTCTATGTATGTATGTATGTATGTATCTGTCTATCTATATTTATATAGATCTGAATCTGTTTATCTATCAACTACCTAGTTATAGTTTCAGTGTTTCAACCACTTCCTTTTTCCTCTCCTCTTGTGCAGAAATATAAACCTTAAATTTTACACAGCGATCAAATTTTAGATGCAAGACACAGAGTTAAACTGGGACATTTTGTCTCTCAACCCCATAAATCTCTCACTTCAAACATTTTAAAAAGGAGGTCATGGCAAGAACTGGGGAGTGAGATGAATGCAAATAATTTCCATTGGTGTCTTCTGCTGTCTTTTGTAAGTGACAAGACCCCTCCATGTCCAGCTAAAGTTATGTTTCTCTGCCTGCAGTTCTTGGGACGGCTGATGGGGCAACACTAGAAGCAGCTGGTCCTGTTGCTTATTTGAACAGTGGGACAGAGGTCACAGGGATCTGTTCACAGAATGCTGGTTATTTTGGAATGACCAGCCAGACTAGCTTCTAAAAATGCTAGTTAATATTGCACATGGAGCTAGTCCCTCTCTTGCCTCCTTACAATCTAACCCAGTGGACTTCTCTTTCAGTAAAGTTCCCTTTCTTGCAGAGGCAACAATGGATATTTGATCTCAGATCTCCTTTTTAACTTCTTTTATAACAGACAACCCTATGTGTTCAAAGGGAGGAGGTAAAGAATTCTCAGTGCAGCGCCTGCTCCTTTTTCTCTCTACTTCGAAATGTATGAATCACATTCAGTAGAACATTTTAAAATGTTATCTTCAGGTTTCTATGAGGGAGATGTCTACTCCCTTTGAACACATAATGCTTTGTCCAAGGGCATTCCAGATGATCAGCCATGGCATGTTTGTGTTATGACAACCCCACGGCTCTGGTGGAAACGCCACACCTTACTACCCTCCCTCCCTGACACAGGCACACTTGATAGCTATACCTCTTCTCTGGTTCAGAAAATCTTCCCTTTTTAAGCAACTGCCTGATCTCTCCTTGAACTTTCCCAACAAAGGTAATGGCAGATTCTATGCTACTTCCAACCTTCAAAGCAAACAGGAACTGCTGCTATTCTTTTGTGTCTAGTGTCTTTGTACATAATTCATTCTCTAAGGGAGGGGTCAGCAAGTACTACCCACAAGACAAATTTGGCCTGCTGCCTGTTTTTTAGAAAGAGGGTTATTAAACGGCACTTTTAAAAATTTTAGTTTAGATAAACTTTACTCTGCTGAGGCAGTAGCTCCTAAAATTAATGAAAATTATTAAAGCAGTATTTAGATTAAAGAACTAAGAATTTTTTTTTTATTTTGAACTGAGAATTTTTAATACCACATTAGCACACTGGATTGTGGTCAATTATGACAAATCACTATCTCATATAGTTAAAACTAGTTTAATTTTTCATATAATATGTATCATGATTTTCAGAGCAATATATACATCCAAATGGTATTTCTTAAGACTTTAACAGTAAAACTTTCTTTAAAAAGTTTTTTTTAATTAAAAGAACTGTGTTTTTTTAATTGTGTACTACATGATGTTTTAAAATATGGACACATTGTGGATGACTAAATTGAGCTGATCCAACAAATGCATCACCTCACATACTTACCATTTTCTTACGATGAGAACACTTAAAGTCTATTCTCAGTGATTGTCAAGACTACAATACATTGTTATTAATGATAGTCACTATACTAGAAATCTCTTGAACATATTTTTGCTATCTAACTGAAATTTTGTATCCTGCTGCTTGTTTTTAAACATAGCCTATGTGTTAAGAATGGTGCCTTAAAATTAATTACATTTCCTAGAGGTTTATGAAAGTCTGTTTTAATAAGTACTGCAAATAAAATACTATAAGTTGCAAAATATTATAAGGGATACCTTCTTATATATAGGATAGAGCTAGGAGAGAGAGTTTGGCAGTTATGGGTCTCATTTCTGTCTTCATCATTTACTAGCTGTGTAAGCCACTTGAACTCTCCAGTCCAAAGAAACTTTCTTAGGATTTTTTTCCCCTGTAAAATAGAGATAATACTAGTACCTATTCCATGGGGATGTCTTGAAGATAAATTTAAATAATGCATATAAAGCTCAGCATAGTGCCTGATCCATAGTAAGTATTCAATAGAGGTTATCTGTCTTTCATTTTGTCATACTTACTAAAAGGATTAGAAATTAGAAAGTTTCTAAAATATTACAGTGCTCAGCAAATAGTAGACACTCAATAAATGGCATGACAAATAAAAACACACTCCACTGCACTCCAGCCTGGACAGCACAAGACCCTCTCTCAAACAAACAAAAACAAACAACAAACAAAAACCCCACAAAACAAAACACTGGAAACATTGGTGACAGTTTCTTACCTCCATTCTGTTAACAGGAAAGGGAGTTTCCACAGGAAGTCCAATTAAAGGGGAAAAGAAAGAAAGTTAGTACATTTTCATCTTATGGTTTGGAAGAGATTATTTTGATACTACTGATTTCTTAAGTTTCTGAAAAGTTCTCTGCTTCTGCTAGGAGGTCAGATGCTGCATTAATGGGCAGATTTGGAGGAAATTAAGAAAATATTGAGTATCTTTAGGAAGCATGTTTTTTTCAAACTGAGCTGATCATGGGTAACATCCATCAAGGCAATATCTAAGCTCAGAATTTCCCTCCATTAGCAACCCAGGGACTTTGCATTAAGAAAAAAAGATGTGGAGGTTAACAGAGAAGATGCATAAAGTAGACTTAAAGGAAAAATAAGGCAAAGAAAAACGAAAGATGAGAGAGGGTGGAAGAGAAAAGCAATGGTTGTTCTCATAGACTTGGCTGCCTCAGGTGTATGTGACCTGGATAGCTGCATAGCATCCACTCAGTAGGGCCTCAGGCTTAATTTAATGTTCTGTTGTCACTACTTTGAAATCCTTACTGTTTTTTGAACCCCTTGCCCTGTAAATTGCTCATGCTTATGGATGTAAAAACTCAGTGCTCTCAGGAGACTATGCCTCTCTTCTGGTGGTGTGTGATTCCCAGGACAAAGGGCCCCAGCTCAGACTCTCTCAAGACATGAGAATCCTGGCAAGGGTATAACCAACATTTCTGAGTTATTCCATTTTCTTTCTTGTAAATTAAAAACTTCACACACCTTACCAAGTGATTTATGGTGACATTGTCCTGTCCTCTCAACCCTCATTATGAAGGTAAACATATGCTTTGTCTAAAACCAATGTGCCATATTAGAATTTCTCCTAATGTTGAGGTCCAACTTATTTTTGAAAGTCTTGGATCCATTTGGGTGTGATTTGGGGGTGGGGAGATTTTTAAGGGCTCTAACATGAATTTCTCTGAGAGGTCAATCTTCTTAAAATACAATGAATTTGTATTTCTAATCATTCCCTTTTAGATTTGTGAGGGTTAGTGACTACAAGGTTTTTATAATCTTGCATATATGACTTTTTTGAATCTTTATGGAATTTTTATTCAATGAGCCTGAAGAATATTTTAACTTGTATTTTAGGTTCAGGGGCACATGTTCAGGTTTGTTATGTAGGTAAACTCATGACTCGGGAGTTTTGTGTACAGATTATTTTGTCACCCAGGTACTAAGCATAGTGCCCAACAGTTGTTTTATTATTATTTTTTCTAACAGTTGTTTTATTATTATTTTTTCTAATCCTCTCTGACCTCCAACCCTCTACCCTTAGGTAGATCCCAGTGTCTGTTGTTCCCTTCTTTCTGTCCATGTGCTCTCATTATTTTGCTCCCACTGTAAGTGAGAACATGAAGTATTTGGTTTTCTGTTCCTGTATTAGTTTGCTAAGGATGATGGCCTCCAGTTCCATACATGTGCCTGCAAAGGACATGATCTTATTATTTTTTATGACCACATAGTATTTCATGGTGTACATGTACCACATTTTCTTTATCTAATCTGTCATTGATAGGCATTTAGGTTGATTCCATATCTTTGCTATCATGAGTAGTGCTGCAATGAACATTTGCACGCATGTGTCTTTATGGTAGACTGATGTATAGTCCTTTGGAAATATACCCAGTAGTGTGATTGCTAGGTCAAATGGTAGTTCTGTTTTTAGTTATCTGAGGCGTTCCACAGAGGTTGAACTAGTTTGCACCACTCCAGCAGTGTATAAGAGTTCTCTTTTCTCAGCAACCTCACCAGTATCTGTTTTTTTTTTTTTTTTTTTTTTTTTTTTTTTTTTTAATTATTTCTTTAGAGACAGAGTCTCACTGTGTTACCCAGGAGAGGGTGCAGTGGCGCGATCTCAGCTCACTGCAGCTTCCACTTCCTGGGTTCAAGTGATTTTCCTGCCTCACCCTCCTGAGTAGCTGGGATTACAGGCACATGCCACCACACCTGGCCAATTTTTTGTATTTTTAGTAGAAACGAGGTTTTGCCATGTTGGCCAGGCTGGTCTCTAACAGCATCTGTTATTTTTTAACTTTTTAATAATAGCCATTCTGACTGGAGTGACATGGCATCTCACTGTGGTTTTGATTTGCATTTCTCTAATGATTAGTGATATTGAGCATTTTTTCATATGCTTGTTGGCTGCATGTATGTCTTCTTTTCAAAAATGTCTGTTCATGTCCTTTGCCCACTTTTAAATGAGGTAACTTTTTGCTTGTATGTGTAAGTTCCTTGTAGATTCTGAATAGTAGACCTTTGTCAGATGTATAGTTTATAAATATTTTCTCCCATACTGTAAGTTTCCTGTTTACTCTGTTGATAGTTTCTTTTGCTATGCAGAAGCTCTTAAGTTGAATTGTTTCAGTTGTCAAATTTTGCTTTTGCTGCAGTTACTTTTGGCATTTTCATCATGAAATCTTTGCAGTTCCTATGTCCAAGATAGTATTTCCTAAGTTATCTTTCAGGTTTTTTTTTTACAGTTTTAGGTTTTATATTTAGGTTTATAATCCATCTTGAGTTGATTTTTTTATATGGTGTATGGAAGGGATCCAGTTTCAATCTTCTACATATGGCCAGCCAGCTATCACAGCACCATTTATTAAATAGGGATTTCTTTCCCCATTGCTTGTTTTTGCCAGCTCTGTCTAAGATTAGATGGTTGTAAGTGTGTGGTTTTATTTCTGAGCTCTCCATTCTCTTCCAGTGATCTGTGTGTCTGTTTCTGTACCAGTACCATGCTGTTTTGGTTACTTTAGCCTTGTAGTGTGGTTTGAAGTCACGTAGTGTGATTCCTCCAGCTTTGTTCTTTTTGATTAGGATTGCCTTGATTGTTTGGGACCTTTTTTTGTTTCCATATGAATTTTAGAACAGTTTTTTCTAGTTCTGTGAAGAATGTCATTGGTTGTTTGACAGCAATAGCATTGAATCTTTAAACTGCTTTGAGTACATTGAACAGCATTTTGTAATGCTCATTGCAGAGATCTTTCACCTCCCTGGTTAGCTGTATTCCTAGGTATTTATTCTTTTTGTGGCAATTGTAAATGGGATTGTGTTTCTGATTTGCCTTGGCTATTTTTGTTATGTAGGAATTTACTGATTTTTGTACATTAATTTTGTACCCTGAAACTTTGCTGAAGTTGTTTAACAGCTCAAGGAGCTTTTGGGCAGAGACTATGACGTTTTCTAGATATGGAATCATGGCATCTGCAAACAGGGATAGTTTGGCTTCCTCTCTTTCTATCTACATGCCTTTTATTTCTTTCTCTTGTCTGATTGCTCTGGCCAGGACTTCCAATACTATGTTGAATAGGAGTGGTGAGAGTGGCCATCCTTGTATTATTCTGGTTTTGAAGGGGAATACCTCCAGCTTTTGCCCATTCAGTATGATGCTGACTGTGTGAGACCAATTTCTTTACTTCAGTGGAGATGTATCAGGTTTTGGCAGAATGGAGAAAGTAGTCACAGATAATATTAATTTGTTAACATTCCAGTGGCATTTTGAAAACTTTTTCAAAATTTTATGATTTTTACAATGAATTTATTTGGAAATGATGCATAATTTTGCATTTTAAAACTTTATCAGTTAGGGCCAAACATGGTGGCTCATGCCTGTAATTCTAGCATTTTGGGAGGCCAAAGCGGGAAGATCATTTGAGCCCAGGAGTTCAAGACCAGTCAGCAACATGATAAAACCTCATCTTTGCAAAAAATACAAAAATTAGCCAGGCATGGTAGCACATACCTGTAGTCCCAGCTACTTGGGAGGCTATGGCGGGAGGATCACTTGAGCCCCGGTGGAGGTTGCAGTGAGCCAAGATCACACACCACTGCACTCCAACTTGGGAGACAGAGAGAGAGAGAGAGAGAGAGAGAGAGAGAGAGAGAGAAACTGTCTCAAAGAAAAAAAAAACCCATTATCAATTAGATATCTTGATAAATAACATGGAATGGTGATCAAAAGAGGTATCCATTTTTCTTTATTCTTTTAAAATACGAATACCTCACTAAACAGAAATGAGCTCTGAGAGTGTGCTAATTTGGTTAATGCATACATATGTATGTATGCATATTAATTAAATATATATATGTATCTCTCTTTTAATTTAATTAAAATATATATCTCTCTCTGCCTCCCAGGCCCATATGTATATATAAAATACATATAGAGTTCATAGGCTCTTATAATAAATGAAAAGCAGCAAAAAGGCAATAATGATCAAAAGGTTCATTGAAAAGCAGCAAAGAGGTAATAATGATCAAAAGGTTCATTTTTTAATGGAATAAATTTTATTCCACTAAATATTTTTAGCAGAAATTCAAAATTGTAAAGAAAAGTCTTTTTTTTGACAAAATGACTAAAGAATCATGCAAGTGTTCAGAATGAAGTGGAACAGAAAAAGACACAATGATATACAACAATCTCATGATTTCCTATATGTGATAAAGTATTAGCAATACCAAAATAAGTCATAAATACTCAGCCATAATACCCATATTATTTGGTAAATTTTTTTTTTTTTTTTTTTTTTTTTGAGATGGAGTCTCACTCTGTTGCCCAGGCTGGAATGCAGTGGTGCAATCTCAGCTCACTGCAACCTCAGCTTCCCGGGTTCAAGTGATTATCCTGCCTCAGCCTCCAGAGTAGCTGGGCCTACAGCCACCCACCACCATGCCGAGCTAATTTTTGCATTTTTGGTAGAGATGGAATTTCACCATGTTGGCCAGGCTAGTCTTGAATTCCCGACCTCAAGTGATTGCCTGACTGGGCCTCCCAAAGTGCTGGGATTACATGTGTAAGTCACTGCCCCCAGCCAATGTTTCATTTTTAATTCTGAATTTTAAACATTAGTTGCAATAGTCATGAAGCTAACTGAAATTGAGTTAAATGAGTTAAGGCAAACCAGTTTTGGAAGTTGATTCTGGGTGAATTAGTCTATTATAAACATAGTCCTAAGTTCAT